CCTGGCCCCCGGCCCCCGGCGGTGCCCCAGTGTCCCTCGCTGCTGTGGGGGAGGCTGGGGCAGCAGGAGCCTCACCGTGCAGTGAGGCTGCCATCGGTCCCCCGGGTCTGCCATCAGTCCCCCAGGGATGCTATTGGTCCCTGGGGTCTGCCATTGGTCCCCCAGGGATGCCATCAGTCCCCCAGGTCTACCACTGGTCCCCCAGGGATGCCATCGGTCCCCTGGGTCTGCCATCAGTCCTCCGGGGATGCCATCAGCCCCTCGGCTCTGTCATCGGTCCCCCAAGGATGCCATTGGCCCCCTGGGTCTGCCATCAGACCCCAGGGATGCCATTGGTCCCTGGGGTCTGCCATTGGTCCCCCAGGGATGCCATCTGCCCCCCAGGTCTACCATTGGTCCCCCAGGGATGCTGTTGGTCCCCTGGGTCTGCCATTGGTCCCCCAGGGATGCCATCAGTCCCCCAGGGATGCCATTGGTCCCCCAGGTCTACCATTGGTCCCCCAGGGATGCTGTCGGTCCCCCAGGGATGCCATCAGTCCCCTGGATCTGCCATCGGTCTCCCAGGGATGCCATTAGTCCCCCAGGTCTACTATTGGTCCCCTAGGGATGCCATCAGTTCCCTGGGTCTGCCATTGGTCCCCCGGGGATGTCACTGCTCCCCTGGGTCTGCCACAGGTCCCTCGGGGATGCCATCGGTCCCTCGGGTCTGCCATGGGTCTCCCAGGGATGCCATCAGTCCCCCTCACCCCGGGCTGGGTTTGCTCCCAGCCATACGGGGGAAGGACTCCCCCCAAGTCTGGGTGTAGGCGGAGGGACGGATCCCCCCTCCACCCACTGACCCCCTGCGCAGCTCCTGCCCCAAACACACCAGGCGATTTTGGGGTTCACCCTTCTTCCTTGAGGCTGCTGAGCCAGACTTCTCCCCGGGCTGTGTGTTGTGTGTGCCCCCCTGGACCCAAGGGGGTCACATCCCACCCCTGCCCCTCCCCAAAGCCTCTGCTCTAGTTTTGGGCCTGGGGCAGCAGAGCTGACCCCCCCGGGGCGGGCAGGGATGGCCAGGGCATCTTGCAGCCATGCCTGTCTCAGCCCCCCCAAGTGCACTGCCAC